TATGGAGCTTCCTGATGCAGAGCTAACATACACGAGTAATTTGGTTAGATGTCCTATTAACAGACAATCATATATATGTAATGATTAGCAGTGAAAATGTTTAGATTATTAGTGGCAGCTTATGTAAGAGCCCAAGAGGACTTCAGTAAAAAATTAAAAGCATGTGCATGTTACTTCCTGCATAATCTCTACTTTTTCCTTACTGAGAGATTTCTCTTGCTCCAAACAGAAAATTTTAAGTCCCATGCCTAAAACCAACCCTTTAACAGTGCCGAACACAGGATATGTATGGATATGTATATACATACATTTCACAAGGGGTTTTTTTGAAGATGAAGACCCAAACAGTATGTTTGAGTCTTTCACCTTTAAAATAAGAGAATATTGTACAATTACTACCATGAAGCACCGTGTGGAACTTTATTATCATTTATGGCTCTATATGGTGGTTCTTCATTTCCCAGCACCAACTGGCCTTTGTTTATGCCTTCCTGTCCCTGTTTCTACATGATTGTGCTACTCTGCACTCTGATCTTGTCAACTCTCCAGGTGGGACTTGTCACATCTGTGAAAGTTCCTGCTGCTAAGTAGCTGTCTCTTCAGTTTATTGAGGTTGTAGAGCCTTTTGTTCCCCCTCCTCTCAATTTAACTTTATTTCAGTTCACCCGCAGTTCCTGTATGATTTTTCCTTTCTTATTCCAGACAGCTATTGTATTTTGTCATTTTGTTTATTTTTTTATTATTTTTATTTTTGCTCCTACAAAATAGCTTAATATTCTACTTTACTTATGAGCTATGGACTTCCTTTTATAACTCTGTGAAGATATAGCTATGCATGGTGATTTCTTCATAAAAAAAAGTGGAGGCTATAAATATGCAAATATCACTTCTGGCTTTGCAAAGTTTAATTGCTTTGTGTATCATGCAGATTCCTAGGCTGAAAAATCTGACGACAGCAAGTAGCACATTTATGTATTCACCATCTTAAAAATGCAGGCAGATTGCTGAAAAGTGTGCCAGTTTTTTGAGTCTGCAGGTTTGCATCTTGTTGATGTTCTTACAGGGCATATAGGGTGCTTGCATGAGTGAGGTTCTTCAGTGAATACAAACATTGTGTTTCTGAACTGTATGATTTGCAGAGCCTGTGAAAAACAATCGGAACAGCTGTTGCTGCTATCCTTCAACATGCTGAGATCACAGGAAGCAGAGATGCAAGGGACCTCAGGAGATGATCTGGTATATTGCTACCCTAAAGCAGGATCAGCTGGATCTGAACATTTCCAAGCAGTCATAGACTTTTGAGCTGGAGGAAAGAAATCAAGAAGTTCTCATGTTGTGTTTGATATTTGAAATTATTTTTCTTTTATTGGTTAAAGTATAAACCAGAGGTATAATCCAGGATATTTCACTGTGACACCTGAAAATTATTTTTATAAAAAAATTTATGTGCTTACTGTATCTGAAAAAGTTCTGGGCCTTGAAATCAGTAGTCCCATATTGCTAGGGCTATAAAGTAGGCACTGAAATGGCTCACAAAGTTGGGGACTGTTTCAGTGTAATACTTCAATCACTCTCTTTGCTCTCTTGTTTTTTCTAGTGACATTAGAAGGACTAACCTCTGAACACCCTGTTGGAAGTGTAGGCAGCTACTTTCTAGCTATCTTGGAGAGAGAGAGAGATACATTTAGTTATTAATAAGTAAGAATCTTCCTGTGTCCTAGTTTCAAAGATCACCATATTCAGAGACATGGGTTCTTTTGATCTGGCCATTTGCCTTGAAGTTTCTCTCCACTGGAGGCAAATAAGAGAAAAAGAAAGCAGAAGTATTGATTTGCAAAATTCAGAGTAGGCAACACAGATGCAGAATTTCATGAAGAAAGGTAGAAAGAAAGGAAATCCAAATTGTTCATCTATTCTTTCGAATATTTCAAAATCTCTTTTATTTTTTAAGATCCAATTCACAGGCTGCTAAAATATTCAGCAACTGGTGGCTGAGGACCCATTTCTATATGGATCCAATCCACTTTGGTATAAGTCCTGACTAGAGGATCTAGATTTGGGAACTCTGGTGTTTTCTGTTGGAGAAGAAGATTTGGTAACTTTGGTATTTCCTTTTACATCACAAACTTCTTTAGCGATTGTTCATGTGCATTAATTACATGATAGGAAGTAGTGGATGAACCACATTATTTATTCTTGAGCGTAGATGTGCTTTGAGGTGTTATGACTTTCCCAGCTGGCCCTGCATTTTCAGCTGAGTGACAGAAAACGCTTCTGCTTCAGGAAGCAGCAGAAGACTGCTTTTTGCCAGGACAGTTGGGAGGCAGAGGAGGTGGGAGGCATGGGATTGAATCTCCATAGACCAAGGCAGGATCCTGGGCTGAGTCCTTAAAGCAGTGAACTGTTTGATAGCAGTGTTCCTGTCATCTCTATCCCTCCCTCTCTGACAGCACTTTAAAAGAGCAAGCTCTGCTTGAGTTTCTTTATTTCAGGAGAAACTGTCAGACCAAGTCCTTAATGGGATTGAGGTATCTTCTGCATGGTGAACTGTGCATCTGTCTGCTGAGCATATCCACATTGGCCTTGTAGGCAGTTTCTGAATGAGCTTACAAGCTTTTCTCCTTTGCCTATGGTCCTGAAACCAGCATCTCATCACTTGCAATTTATGCAATGACACAGCAGCATGGAACTGGGAGAGCCTTGAATCATCAAGTGTACTCATCCCTAGTCATAAGCAGTGGTTTATAATTAAGTCTGGAATGATCAACAAGAATATTCACTTCTTGCTGTGTCCTTTTAATACCTGCAAGTCCCAAATCCCCACTAATTACTTTCCTTGGCTCTATAATTAGCTGAAGATTTTGAGAACAAAAAGACTTTGAGAACTTGCGCTTTGAAGTTTTCTGAAGGAGGAAGGGATGATTCTCAGACAGATCCTCAGAGTTCCTTGAGTTCAATCATAAAATCATAGAATACCAGGTTGGAAGGGACCTTAAGGATGATCTGGTCCAACCTTTCATGGCAAAAACGTAGTCTAGACAAGATGGCCCAGCACCCTGTCCCTTGAATCTTAACACTGTCCAATGTTGGGGAATCCACCACTTCACTGGTAAGATTATTCCAATGGCTGATTGTTCTTATTGTGAAAAATTTTCCATTTGTGTCCAACCTGAATCTCCCCAGGATTAACTTGTGCCTGTTACCCCTCGTATTTTCCATGTGACTCTTTGTAAAAAGGGCATCTCCATTTTCTTTGTAACTGCCCTTTAAATATTGAAACATGGTGGTAAGGTCTCCCCTAAGCCTTATTTTCTCAAGACTGTACAAAACTATTTCTCTCAACCTTTCCTTATACAGCCGGCTTCCCAGTCCTTTGATCATCTCTGTGGCCCTTCTCTGGACCCTCTCCAGCCTGTCCGCATCTTTTTTGTACAGCAGGGACAAAAAACTGAACATGGTATTCCAGGTGTGGCCTACAGGCACTGAATGGAGTGGGGTAATGATTTCCTTCTCTCTTCTGGTGATACCTTTGCTGATGTAACTTAGCATCCTGGTGGCTTTCTTTGCTGCAGCAGCACACTGTTCACTCACATTGAGCTTGCTGTCCAGCAGGAGTCCCTTTCCACAGAGATGCTCCCAGCCGGGAAGATCCCAGCCTGTGCTGTACTCCTGGATTATGTTTTCCCAGGTGCAAGACCTTACATTTGTCCTTGTTGAACTTCATCATGTTCTTATTAGCCAACTCTTCCAGCCTATCCAGGTCATCCTGCAGGGTGGTCTCCCAAAGTGCCCACTCAGTCTGGTATCATTGCATACTTCATCAGGGTATACTTGATCCCATTTTCCAGATCACTTACGAAGACTTTGAAAAGTGTTGTGCCCATTATCAATCACTGGGAGACCCCATTAGTGACAGGTTGCCAGTTTGAAAAGGAGGTATTTATCACCACCGTCTGGGTGCAGCCTGTTCAGCCAGTTCCCTACCCACCACACAGACTGCTTGTCAAGACCATAGTATATCAGTTTCTCTAGGAGGAAGCTATGGGAAACCATGTTGAAAGCCTTGGAGAAATCCAGGTAGACAATGTCCACCGCTTACCCCACATTGACCAAGCAGGTTTATTTGTCATAGAAGGCAATCAGGTTTGACAAGCATGATTTGCTCTCAGTGGATCCTTGCTGGATTTTTCCAGTCACGTGCTTAATTTGACTATTCATAGTCTGCAGGAGGATTCATTCTATAACCTTCCTAGGGACTGAAGTAAGACTGATGAGCCTATAATTTCCTGGATCCTTCTTTAAGCCCTTCTTGTAGGTGGAGGTGACATTTGTCTTCTTCCAGTCTTCTAGGATGTCCCCTGATCTCGATGACTTCTCAAAGATTATGGAAAGCATCCTTGCAATGATGTCAGCCAGCTCTCTTACACTTGGGAGGATAATGTCAGGGCACACTGATATGTAGGGGTCAAGCTCCTGTAATAGTTGACATACCAACTCTTTTTTTGCTGATGGTGGGTCTGTTTTCATCAACCTGTATTTTTGTTCCCAAGGCCTGGGCCCTAACAATGCTGGTAAAGACAAAGGCGAAGAAAGTTTTGAGAACCTCTGCTTTTTCAGCATTTCTAGTAACTAATTCACCTCTTCTGTTCAACAGTGGGCAGATATTTCAATTATTTACCTTATTTCAATTATTTACCTGATTTCAATTCAAGCTGAGCTTTTGCTTTTCTAACTGCATCTCTGCACACTCTGGCAATGACCTTGTAGTTCTTAATGGTTATTCATCCACTTTCCCACCTCTGGTACTCTTCTCTTTTGATTTTGAGCAAACTCAGAAGCTCACAGTTAAGCCAATGGGGTATTTTTTTCTCTACCATTTAAAAATAAGGTGCTTTTTCATATTTTACATTTGTTGGAGGTGGTTATTAATACAAAGGGAAAACGTAGGTTATTGTGTTCTTCTAATCTGTCAAAAAATAACAAACTTTTTTATCCACTAGGTGTTAAAAGTGTACAAAGCTGCAGTACAGCAGACATTGGACATACTCTTTCTTCCTGAAGGAAAAGAATTTCTTACAAGCACAGATGCAGTAAGCCGGGACTCAGCTGATCGTACCATTATTGCATGGGACTTCCAAAGTGCTGCAAAAATCTCCAATCAGATTTTCCATGTAAGATTAACAACTAGTATTGTTTGGGATTTAGTATTTCATGCTTGTCAGTGTTGTAAAAAAAGCTTTTGATTTTCCTAAAGGTCGTGTGATGTATAAAATGCTCTTACTGTAAATTGAGGGTTTTCTTTATTTCTATATATTAAAAACACTTACTTATTCTTAAAAAATGACCTTGAACACTGTTAGGTCTCTGTGTTAAAAGATTTACATTTCAGTGCTCATTCACTGACAACTAAGCTATATTTAGGCAAGGACACTGTAGTGTCTAGCTTGCCAATGATGCATGGCAGTAGTTGCTTTCTTTTCCCACACTTTTTCATACATTTTTCATTAGCTGCAATGAGGGCTATTGACAAACTGAATTTAATATTTGCACAGTAATAGCAACCTGATACGTGCATATAGATACCTAGTATGGCATAATCACAGAAGCAAAATTTACTTTTAACAGTGCAGGTGCAGTATTTCTCTCAGTAATCTATCCAGGCAATATAGTTAATGGACTAAATGTTCTGAAAAGGCTGACAGCTTCAAAGGAGGTTGCTAAGGAGGTTAACAGATAATTCTAACTCCCAAGGTCTTTTTTGAAAACCCATGTCTAATATTCTATGTAATATAGCATGATTGGATTATATATAGATGCTTTTGGCTGAAATGAACAGTTCTCTGCTGACAAGGATGAATCTAGTGGGATTGTTTCATGTTTAATTTCTGCAGTTGTGTCTTTGTCCAATATTGGATCTAGCAACATCTTGGATAGACAATAATTTCTGCAGTTATGTCTTTGTCCAGTATTGGATCTAGCAACATCTTGGATAGACAATAAGGGAAAAGCAAAAAAGCGGTGAACATATAAACTACAGATCAGTCAAGTTCAGTATCAAGAAGTAAACCCAATCAAATAATTTTATTCTCTTTATCCCCCGAGAAACAAACCAACTAACAACCCCCCACAGCCTACCTTCTCACAACTACGCATCTCTGAAATGGACTTTTTCTCCCCTTTTCTGCACTGTGAGTAAACAAGGTGATTTTGGAAACTCTGCTTCAATTTTCTGAATTTCACCTTTGAACCCTTCAAGGTAGGAGAGAATCCCTGAGCTCTCCAGACAGATTAGATCCCAAGAGGACTTGATTTATTGTTTGTCTGCATTAACAAATGAGTAATTAAAAACTCTAAAATAGCCCATTACTACAATATACACAGCATAACAGAGCAGTGCTCCTGCAGATTATATTGCACTTTCTGATCCCTTACTGTTAGACCCAGTTTTCCCCCAGAAGCATACGGTACTCTGCAATGGAGCACACTCCCAATCAGGCATGTTGCCTAATCCAGTTTTAGTTTCTGTGCCCCATATCTTACAATACCCAGTTCATCACTTCCAAACCACACAATAAAACCAGTCTAATGTTCTTCCTGCTCTACCACATCTAGCCCATGATGTCCAGTGGTCACTGTCAGCCTGGTGACATCACATGCAGATGCATCCTACAGCCAAAGCTCTCTTAGTTTGTATTCATGGCATCAAAATTCAGCACTGTGTCTGTAGGTTAGGCTGAAACTAGCAGAGGTTTGGACCTAGTGGAAGCTTTGCAAGAGCCGTTGATTTCTAATGCAGTTGCCATGCAGTCTTTCAAAAGTAATCTTAATTCAGTCTTAAATAGGAACATTAGAGTAAAGCCAAGTGTAACTAATTTTTTTGCAGATATTTATGAATTTACAGACGGCAATAGCCTACACGGCAAATCATTTTCCTAAAGAATTTCTGACTTAGTTGGCTACTGAGTATCATCAAGTTGGAGTTACCTTTCTGCAGCTGTTCTGCAGTATAATTATGGTTCAGAAGGAGATTTTGTTCAGCATCTAGGAAATCAGGGTAAAGATTTCGTTTAAGATTTGTCTTGATGTAAGACTTCCAGTGGATTGTAATGACTTAAGTACCTTTTCTATAATGTATACTGTGGATATAACTTACATATACCTTGCCTTTTATGGTCTTCCAAAATGTGAGAAGATAGCCTGAATCATTTTAACAAATCTTGTTTCATACAACAAAACTTTCTTTAAAATTATTTTCAGGAGCGTTACACTTGCCCAAGTCTGACTCTGCACCCAAAAGAGTCTATATTTGTTGCTCAGACAAACGGGAACTACATGGCTTTGTTTTCTGCGCAGCGACCTTACCGAATCAACAAGAAGAAAAGATATGAAGGACACAAGGTATCCTTCTTTACTGGGAACCTAGTTTCCAAATTTAGAAGGAAGATAGATAGCAAAGTACCTGTGCTTTTTAGTATGTCTGCTAATAATGTTTGATTATAAATCAGTGATGGATATTAATTGGCTTCATTTGCTTTCCCATGTGCCAGTCTATTTTGAATCATATGCGTTCTGAAGAAAATAGTTACTAGAAGATATTATAATACTTAATAGCTTGATTAAGTAAGTTTGTGTTATAGCTGTGTCTTATTAAACACCTGGAGAAGTCCTTAGTGTATATTTATTTAAAGATACAATTTTTTTTGGTACTATATTCTTTTTCAGTATATCACAATGAACTTTTCTAATCAGCATCAGGAGTTACACTATTATTGATTTTCACAGGTGGAAGGTTTTGCCGTGGGCTGTGAATTTTCTCCAGATGGAACACTTTTGGTGACAGGAAGTTCAGATGGCAAAGTGTTTTTCTATAACTATCATACTGCTAGGATTATTCGCACTTTGTCTGCACATAAAGAAGCTTGTGTGAGTGCAATATTTCACCCAGTCTTGCCATCACTCCTTGCAACATGTGATTGGGCTGGAGAAGTCAAGATCTGGCAATAACAAGCAGAGTTACTTTTCAGGCTGTCTCCTCTTAGTCTGTCAAAGGCGTAGGAAATAAACCATGGTGTGCAGTGTGAAATTTTGTTGTGATGTGGTAAGCAGAAGAGACTGTTGTCTTTTCTTCTATGATCTCTAAGTATATGCTTTCATAATGCAGTTAAGATGGTCTTGTCATTAGCTGCTTAGAAAGTGGTTTTACTCTCTCCCTCAGTCCTGGTGACAAATTTCTGCCTGTGACAAATTTTTTGTGTCTTCTGCTACTCATCTGGCCCCACCCTGGTTTGAGTAGCTAAACTGAAGAAAATTATTGCTCTTTTTATGGAGCTTTTCAATGCAGCTTTCTTAAACTGGGTTTTGTCATAGAATTATTTAGGTTGGAAAAAACCTTTAAGATCATTGAGTCCAGTTGTTAACCCAGCACTGCCAAGTCCACCACTGAACCATGTCCCTAAGTGCCACATCTACACATCTTTTAAATACCTCCAGGGATAGTGACTCAACCACTTCCCTGGGCAGCCTGTTCCAATGCTTGACAACCCTTTCGGTGAAGAAATTTTTCCCAATACCTAATCTAAACCTCTCCTGGTACAACTTGAGGCCATTTCCTCTCATCCTGACCAAAAGTTCATGGGGACATGTTATTTACCAGAGGATGCCATTCAGATCACTTAATGCCTATTTGATCTCCCTGGGGTGTCTTTTCACTGGTTTAAACTAGTTTTCACTAGTTTTGCTCCCTGACCTGAAGCGTTGACAAGCTCTAGTGTAGTTCAAGGCAAAACAGCTTCTGTGCACAAGAAGGGGAAAGATCATAGGGCAGGTGTGACTGCTTCTTTTGGAAATGGGTGGCTGTTACCAGTTCTGAGAGTTTCAGGGAAAGGTGTGCCAAATAACTTGAAGCTAATTTTGAAGTCGGTAAATTTGTGTTCTTAAAATCCTGGTGTTTGAAGTTGAGTTTTAAACTTGCATTTACAACTGTAGATAAACAAAGCAAAACTATGTGTAAATATTTTTTATGAAAAAAATAAACATTTTTTTTCTTGTACATGGTTTCTGTATTTCACTATTTTACTCCTGTTGTTCTTTACAAGTCAATATTCAAGACTATTATGGAACTGATGGTTGGGGGGAAACATTTAATATGCTACCCTAAGCACATGCATATACTTATCGATGCCACTTAGACACAGAAAATTGTCATAATGCTGTTTAGTGCCAGGGATGTTCTTTGACATTTGGACAGGAGCTGGGCTATTCTGCAGCAAATAGAAAATTCATGAGGCCATAATTGTGTATTTACATATGTATAGATTGCTTTTTAAATGTATTTTGAATTTGCATGCCCTGCACTTGTATTGATTGGTTCTAGAAATTATTATCCATTTTATATGTGTGTGTGTTTGTATACATATATATATCACTGAAAAAAAAGTCTGTGCAATGTGCATAAACCATATACCCAACCTTTCAGCGAGTGCTATAAGTTTATCTTGATTTTGGTCTGATTAGTCTATAAAGGTATTTTAATATACATCGGATAATTGTGTTGAGTAAATTGTCTCTGTCGTGAAATCCAGAAGTCATGTATAATAGCAGCTTTTTCTCTGTAGCATCTTTTTATTCTTCTGATCTTTTCTTATTGGCACAAATACAAGGGGGTTTTATCCATTTTCCACATACTCAGTTAAAACAGCTTTCTTGGAAAAAAAATTTCAGAACACTCTTGCAAATGGCAGATTTTAACTAACGAGCAAAATATATTCCATTGTTTTGTAGCTTGTTTTCCTTATAGCTTTCAGTAAAAAATAAGCCTCTACAAAGACTAGGGATCCACAATTATATTGTTTGGTGACTGGACCAAGATACTTTGGCTGCATGGTTTTAATCATCATATCAACAATTATGATGGGTTTTAACACAGGGCATTACATCTTAGTGAACCATGCAACGTATCACAAATAACTTTTCTTTCAGACTATTCTTAATTTCTGGCTTCCTTGTTTTGCAATTAGCTGTTCAATGGGAGCCTGAATTTTGCACTTCTCATCACTGTGCCTCTAGCATACGAGCCAGCTGGACCCTTTAAATGACAACTGGTTCAGTGATTTGATGAGTTATTCCTAATTCAAGCTGTGGGATCTACATAGATGTCAGGAGTTCAGCTGAGAGTGAAGTGTAATAGTTGCCTATCACTGTGCAGGCAGAATGACGGCACAGCATTTTCTAAGAGGGCGGCTCTGTGTCCTTCCCTCCAGGTATTTTAGTTCAAAATGTGCTATGGCTCTTTAAAACTTCTGGCAACCGGTTTTGTCTGTATGGGCAGCATTGTAGATCTGTTATCTCCACAGGGAGATATCTGTCTGTTCTATTTCCACATTATCTGTCTGTTATTTTTGTTAAATAGCGTTGAAAAAGGCCTCTGAAATAAATGTGACCTCATGATAGAAATGCCTTATAGGATGGAGCCCCAGGTTGGGTGAAGACTTCTGTAACTGAATGAGCTCTCAGCACACTCAGCCCAGTTTGAGAGCACCTATGGATAAAGAGAAAGATCTGAAAGAGCAGTCTTTGGGAATCACTGCATATATTGGGTAGAAAAGTGACTACATTTTGTAATATTACTGATGTTTTTACTTATGTCCAGAGGCATGATTCTGATGTCTAGCATTTATTCTTTAGACTATTTGTAGGTGGGTGAGGGAAAAGCTTAAATTTGATTAAAGGTAGTAAAGAAAAATAAAAGAAGCTTGAAACTGTATAATCTTGAAGAATATTAAAATTAGAACTGCATTTGTGTCAGATCTCCAAGATGGCTGGAGTTTTAATTATGTATGAGATTCAGCCAAAGTTTTTATAATGCAATGAAATGATGTTCACAGCATTATCTTGTTAAAATCTCTTTCTAATATAAAACTGATTAAGACAGAGACTGAAATTTAGTCATTGGAAATATTTTAGAATAGTGCTGTCAATTAAGTTTTCATTATGATTCAAAGACAAATTCTTCCTTGTAATCTTATGTAATGAACTGTAATCAAAAAATATCCACATTGCTCCATGATTCTGTAATTACCAAATACTGTTTGGGCTGCAAACAAGGATTATTATGGTCCAATGACACTTTTAGAATATAATGAATTGTTGGTTAATTAATTTTATTCATAAAATTATAATCTAGAAATTTTTGAATCTTGCTTTAGGAGCAGTTCTTCTAGCTTTATATAGCGCTCTCTAGGGCATCATATATTAGAGCAGAGATATTTAGCATGTTGGAATGGTCTAGGCTGCGTAGATAAACAAGCCAGATTAATTTTAATCTATTTTGTACTGTATCAAAAAGTAATAATTCCAATCTCTAGCACTTTATTATTTGCTACTGAAGCATTATTAATTTGGGTGTCAGAGGATGCAAGCTGTTCAACTGTCTTTATCTCAAAAAACCTGCTAATTAGTAGACAGTTATTAAAATCATTGTGTTCACTCAGCTGAAAATACTGTTGGTGAGTCACACTCTATTTCAGCTATAGGCCTGATCACAGAAATAAGGTATGGCATCACAATGGGATGACCCTTTCTATAGGGGACAGGCAAGTGTAAAGGTCAATACTATGTCAGAACAGAACAAAACAGGAAAATCAAAAAATCACAGGATGTCAAATTTGCCATTGTCCTGATATATGGCTTTTGATTGCATTCAACTGAAAATATTTGCTCTGCTTTCTTCAGCTAACCTTGATCTTGTTCTCTTAATCCCAGCTTCTCCTAGCCACTGTTCACATCCTCTCTGTTTACTTACATCCTTACACTGTTTTTCAGTTTTTCTGTTCTTGTTTCATCACCTTGTCTTCTGCATTTAAATATATAATATTCTATATACTCACGCTACGTTTATCTTCTCTTCAGTAAATTTCATTTTGCTGTGCTCTGACTTGTGGCTTTCAGGCTTTCATTCCAGCTGTCATTAGAAAGGTAGCCAGAAATGCCAGAGCACTTTGCACTCCATTCTTGTCTTTCTGTTTTACAGTTTTAATGAGACATTACTTTTGGAGGTTCTTCCCTCTTTCTTAATCTCTCTTCTGTCTGCTTTTCTTTCTACCTTCCATTACTGCTTTACAGATCCTTTGTATTATGGCTGCTCCTACAAGGTGTATCTACATGAATGTCTGAGTTTGTCAGGAGTGCACTTTTGGGTATAAATAATAATGATAAGAACAAAAAGTCTCCCAGTTATTGCTACTTTTATAATGCTTTGGTTCACACAGCACATAAACTGCACTTCTTTCGAATGAACCTAAATGAGGAGATGTGCTCCAAGACCATATTTAACATGTCCCAGCAGGTGGGACTAGACTGGAGAAAGTTCAGAATATCCCTTACCCCTACCAAATGTAGGTAGGTTAGATGCTGCATTTTCGAAAGTGAGACAAACTTCACAAATTTACTCTTGTTGAGCCTTACTACCTGCTAACGTAAATGTAGTTTCAAAGAGCCTTTGGCACTTCCCCTTTGGTAAATCTCTCACTTGTCTCTTCATGACTCACCACTCTGCGCAGGGTGTCATACATCTGTGTTTTCGCACTTCAAAAAGTGGAAATGCAGAAAATTAATTTATGAAGGGAAAATAAAGTAATTTTAGAAGCACTTGATCTCCAGTGGCAGTATGAGAAGCTGGCCCCTGCCCAGAGCATAGTGAATTCTGCTGCGTGTGCAGAATGACTCCAAGTTGGGACAGAGCAGCCTAGTCTACAATGGGAATGGTGGATCTTTAGATGGAAGTATGGCTTCCTTTGCTAGCTTCAGATGAAGGTTTAAAGGAATTAAGCTTATTCACCTCCCTTTCCCAGTCCCTGGATATCCTATGCAAGCTTATTTAGAAGTCTACCATAAAGTACCTATGTACTGCACCAAGATAATAAAGCTTTATCCAGATATAATTCTCACTATATCTTCACCATTTTGGGTAAGTGCCTCTTAAAATTAATCTAAAAACTCTTGCAGGA